GTAATGCTGTAGCTCGCGGTATACTGAGCTTTTGGTCATGGGAGGACGCTAGTTTGTGTCCTCCCATGACCCTTAGGAGAACTATGGGGGGGAAAAAACATAGTTCTCCTTTTTTAAGGATGTTTTTTTTTTTTTTTTTCATTCGATTTATTCTTTCGATTTAATCGGCCAACTAATCGAGTATGAAAATAATCATTAGTTGCAGGCCTATTTTCAGCTGTCACTAGTACAGGAGGTGAGGGAAATCTGCAGTCCTGTACCTGTTCTAGTGACATCTGTCCAAGATTTCCTCCCAATTTGAGAGTTTTTTGAGATTGGAATTGGGCACTGCTCTTCTGTGTTATGTCTTGCACAGGAAGGCGATTGCTGACCTTTAGCACATGGAAGTCAGGGCTGATCCTCCTATCGTTTGTCTAGCATTGTGTTAATAGATAATCCTTGCTTTAAATGTCAATCTCTACAACAATACCCTCATGAAAATGGAAGCGAGGCTTGGTACCTGGCACACTTGCTGTGGCCAGTCAGCAGATTTTTGTTGGCTTGTATTTCATGTGTAAGATGACAATTCTTGCTGTTTTACAATAACCACTGAAGACCTTTGGATAGAAAATAACTTGACTGCATAAGTCTGTACTTGGTAGACGCACCTTTGGCATTAATTGCACATCTGAGCATTGCAGTGTTTGCTCATTCCTTTTCGTAAACCCACCTGCGCATGTTTGCAGAAACGCAGCAGAACTTGCTTGCGGTACCATTGATTTCTAACGGAACCATAAAGATGTGCGCGTAAGCAAAAAACAGTTGGGTTAATTAAAAGCAATTGGGACAGTTTTACCCTCCTTAGATCCTTCTTTTTTTTTTTTCATGTGCAAAACTCTCTTTTAACATGTGCGCCTGTTTTGACCAGAGCTTGCACTACTTTTCCAATTGCCCGTGTTTGGACCAGAGCTTGCACTACTTTTTCAAAAAGCACCTGTTTTGCACCTGTTTTCATGTGCTCTTGTTCTGCGGCTGCGTGAAACTGGAGCATTACCTAACAACAAAACAATTGCAACTTAAGAAGTCCCCATGACCACTTCTTCAAGAAGCGACAGTTAAGCTTTTTGCCTGGAGTTACGAGTCTTCTTTCCTGGAGTCTATTAAACCTCATTTATGAACAGCATTACATTAGCAACATTAATTTGGCGCAAAGTGCGTCAAATATATTCCCTTCAAACACTAGCAATTGCTATGATAAATTCCCCCAAATGTGTGTTGCGCAAACTGCTACATGAGCTTCTTTGCCGCATGTATATGAACCGATTGAAATCAATGGGGACACGCAGCAAACGATCCACAAAAGCGCACACGATTGTGACGCATGTTACTGCCACGCACAGGTGTGAATGTGGACTTCGATTGTTTGGGGATCTTGAGTCAAGACCAGCACAGCTGTGTAAGTGTTCATGAAGGGTTCTTTTAAAATATTGCTTCTGTGTTGTTGTTTAACCGGCTCTCATTCTTGTATACCCGTTATGGACAAGAACAATTGTGGTAATAACCTTATCAGTTCTTGAGATAACAAAGTAATACATACATTTTGGGGACAAACAAGGCTTTCATTTTCCAGTATTGTCTTGCAGTGATTATTTTATTGTTTATTAAATCTATAGACAAAAAGATATCTATTAAAATTTAGTTTTTTTTTCTATTTTGACCAGTATTTCTTTTTAAGGCCCCGTTCACACTGAGCGATATCGCTCTCCAATGCTTGGCAATGGGGCAAAGGGTCCTGCTGTCGCGTGTCGTGCGTCGCTACAGCATGACCCTTTTTGGAGCGGATTTTGCCGCGATTCAATGCTTTTCAATGCAAGCATTTGCGCGATATCGCGCAAAATGCAAATCGCTCAACAAACGCGCGATTTGCGAATGGCTACTTAGTGTGAATAGGAATTATACATTTTATTCTGTAATATATCACATTTAAAATGATGTGTTTGTACATAGCATGGCAAAGTTATTTGCAAATGGAATGGTGGGGTTTTCCCAATTTTGTGCATTTCTTTGTGCGACACTGAGGAAAAAATAGCAAACAGAAAAGTAAATATTTGTGGTAAAAAAATCAGTAGAAAAATATTTATGGGCAGGAAGGAGTGCATTGGGGCCATTTAGGCCTGGTTCACACATGGGCGTTTTACAGTGCATTCCTACGCTCTGTAAAACGCTCAACATGTGAAAACCAATGATTTGCCTATGGGTATGGTTCCCACCTAAAAAGTTTTTACAGTGCGTAGGAACGCGCTGCAAAACGCCCTACGCCCAAAGAAGTACAGGAGCTTCTTTGAGGCGTATTTGCCGCGCGTATCCATTGGAATACAGCCAGGTAGCCCTCGGAAACGCCTGGGTGTGAACCCAGCCTTAGTGTTCACTAAGTGTTAATAAGGGGCTAAATAGGATTATATTTTTACTTAAAAACAAATTTTTTCCTGCTTGTAAGGTTTTGTTAAAATCATATGCCAATCAAAGGTCATGTCTTTAATTTACATATGAATGACATGGTAACCACAGTTAAACAATACATTTGGGGGAATTTATAATGGCAATTGCGAGTGTTTGAACTCGCATATGGTCGTATGAGATTTATTTGCACCAGATTTATGTTGCTAGTGCAATGTTGTTCATAAATGAGATAAAATATGGAATACAGGCTTAATACAAATTAATATACTAAAAATTAGCTTGTAGTCCATCACAGGAGCGAGCTTGGAGCGGTGACTACTTTACAACACACACAGGGACTATAAGGAACAAATGTAGCCACTCTTCAAAAGTAGGAACAGTGTCAGCACCAATTCAGAGAAGATTTGAGGATCTACCGCTGAGTGACACATAAATAAGGTCCAGTTTTTGTTAATAGTTCAGGTAATTGAGTTACGATTAAATTCCTGAGTTTAGTGTCATTTTAAAGGAGAACAATGAGAAGTGAAAATCACTCATCCTCCGTTCGAGCCGACGTGAGGCAATGAAACTGTCACACGTCAGCTCAATAGATCGGGAAGTGAGCGAATGCATACAGTCGCTCGCTCACTTCTCGATCATCTCCCTGCAGAGAGTAGTGACTGTCAGTCATCACCCCCCGCAGGAATTCCCCCTCCCCGCTCCGATCCTCCAGCACTGACTGGTGGAATGGAGGGGCGGCGGGCACAGCTGGCTCTGCCTCTAGATAGGCAGAGCCCGCTGTCACTCATGCAGCTGGGTGGATATCAACAGTATTGTCTGTATCTGTACCGGCTGCGGCGGTCTCATTATACCGCGAGCTACAGAGCTTTGGGTCACGGGAGGAAGCTAATATATGTCCTCTTGTGACCCTTAAGAGAACTATGGGGAAAACACTTACCACATAGTTCTCTTTTTAAGGGGGAAAAGATCCTCCCTGGCACATGGGAGGTTCATGATAAAGAATGAAAGTAGTTTCTACAGAGATCTTCCTGTGAGGGAACTCTCTTTCCACTAATGCTAAGTAAATGGACCATACTCTGCAAGATGGACAATATAAAATCTGAATAATGGAAAAAACATAACACATCTGCAAGTATGCATGCACTATTTTATCTTTCTATTTCAAAGTCTTTGCATTTAAAACCTAGAGGTGAACCGAAATGAAAATTTCAAAACCGAAACGAAACCGGAATAAAAAGTCAGGCCAAAACCGAAAAATGTGTATTTTAACCTTCTTTTTTTTTTTAATAAACTTTTTACATTTATATTTTTATTTAATTTTGTATTAAATATTTTTGACTTTTAAGGGCTTTGGGAAAATTTTGGGGGTCTGACCCCTGATATTTACCTTTTTAGAATAGAAGAAGAGATTGAAGACAGAGTCCTCCAATCTCTTTTTCTGCAGCACCTGTTATAAATGAACAGGAATCCTCCTATACTGAGTGTTTCTGTTCATTCATAACATGAGAACAGAGCATGTTTACTATATCCACAATTTATGAATGAACAGGAGGGGATGTAGATCACTTCCCATTCATTCATAATTGAGGATATAGTCAACATGCCCTCAATTAGTTATAAACACTCGGCAAGGAGGCTGAGTGAGCGGTGCAGGGAGGAGAGCTCAGCCGCCTGTGACAGCGTTGGCTGTTTCCGCCCACACTGCTCTCCTCTGATCTGTGACAGGAGGCTGAGCGATGCGGGGAGGAGAGACACCGGCCGCTCACATCGCTCTCCTCCCACAGCACTCAGCCGCCCATGACCGTTTCTCTCCTCCCCGCTGGGACACAGAGCAGCGCCCAGTGGGGAGGAGAGAATAGGATGCACCGCTGTATCGGCCAGAATATGGCCCTTTCGGCATTATGCCAAAAGTGCCATTTTCAGACGATATGTTTCGGCAGCCGATATATTGGTGCATCCCTATTTAAAACCATTTTGTTTTACTGTATAACAAACTATTCCCTTGTCCATTAAGGGCAAATTAAAAGATCTGTTTTAGCTCCCCGCAGTGTATATTCACTTTTCCTAATTCCTGCTGCACCAGTTCAGCCACCAGGGGTTGGGAAAGCCTAGCACTGTCATATGATAGAAGTGCAGTGTTTAGATATATACAGCTATAGATTTATATAATATATTTGCAAGGTATTTCTCTTCACTCCCAGCAACTGAACAGGGAGCTGTGAGATTGAAGGAGGGGAGATCATATGCTGGCAGGGAGGGGGGGAGAGCAAAGGGAACCTTTTACTTTGTCTAATGGGCAAAGGAAAGGTTGACTTTAAAGCAGGGCGATCATAGAAAACACATTATTTTAGCTTAGGAGATCAGCAAACGTGCCTTTTAGCAGTCCTCACAGCTTCAGAAATGGACATAATTGTATAGCAGGTTATTTTTTTGTTCAGATTGCCGTTTTTTCCTTTATTAAAAGTCATTTTTCTTACTATCCCTTTCAATATATATTTTCAGCTGCTATCTGCGGTTTTGCTACGTACGTATTTTAACATTTGTATTTTTAATTTTTTCAGGTCTTAATGCAAAATGAATTTAATCAAAGAGAACAAGGACCTGGCCTGTTTTTACACCACAAAGCATTCCTGGAGGGGAAGGTAATTTTTGTTAATGTGTATCTAAACCCAAGAACAGCCTAACAGACTTTAGATGTGGTAGCTGCAATACTTTTCCAGGCTTCTCCGTTTTATTTTCATACTGTACTGTGTCTTGGAAGGACCATGTTATCTAGGGAGGATAGGATGTCTTTTTGGACTAGAGAACACCTCCCCTTCCTAAATCCGTAAAATGGGGGTATTCTGTAGTCCACAGTTAGTGGCCAGCTCACCTGTTTTTCATTTTCCAGGGCAATTTTGAGTCTGGTAACACTGTAGAAATAACAGTTCTTAATGCTGACACTTTGATAAATGAGACTCCTTGTGGTTCACAGATGAGTATTAATGAGCTCACAAGTCTGAGGAGACATAGGTGTGGTTACTCATGCTTGAAAATGACTTTCCCCATCATAAAGTAAAATTATCTGGGGAGAATGGTTTAAGATAAAGCTTCAAATTGTGTGTGGCAACAGGGTTATGTGTGATCTGTTTTATACCTGGCTTTGTCAGCCTTAGAGGCAAGGAAGTCTAGGTGCATAAAACGTAATTTTTCAATGTTCTATTTGTCTTGCAATTTAAAGCATAACTCCAAGCAAACAAATAAATAAACACCTGAAATGCTTATATGGTATTTATCTGCCTAAGGATTTGTATTTCTGTCCATCCAGTCATAATGTATACCCAGCACTGTCAGACAGAAAAGCCCAGTTAGTCCTGGTTCACACCTAGGCGTATTGCATATGCGCGTCTTTCGCCGCGATTCGCGGTAAAAGAAATAGCGCGACAAACGCGCATTTCCGAGGGCTACTTGGCTGTATCCCAATGGAAACGCGCAAAAAAAACGGCCCAAAGTAGTACATGTACCTTTTCAGGCGTGGGCCGTTTTGTAGCGCGTTAGGGACGGGCTAAAATACGCCAAGGTGTGAACCAGACCCATTGAAAACAATGGGATTTTCATGTTTGAGCGTTTTGTAGAGCGTTCGTCGAGCGTAAAACGCGCTACAAAACGTTCATGTGTGAACGAGGGCTTAGAAACCTTCATTTTCTTTACTCACGTCAGTAATCCAACTAGGTCACCTTCCTGTCCCTCGACTGTCACTGGACAGTGAAGTAATAGCTTCAGACTGATGATCTCATCACTCTCTTCTCTCCTCATTTTAGTATGTTCATTATGGTCACATGTACACTGCAGCAGACCTGATTGGCCCCTAGTAGTGCCCCTCCCACTCCCAGTCTGAATGTTGCTGAACATGTGATTACAAGAAAAGGAAACCAAGTCAAAATCAAGTGCCCGCACTAGTAAAGAAACTAAAAAGTAGAATAAAACTCTCCTTTTTGTTTGTTTGCATATATCTATTGCTAGCAAGAAGTAGATATATGCAAAAACATTTCAAAAAATTAAAAAGTTACCACTAAGGTAAAAACTTACCTGTGTCTCTGCCGTTCGATCCCATTTGTAAATCTGAAGCCTCTCGAGCAGCCATGCAGGATGATGGGGCTGGCACATGTGAAGTAGAGATCTTCGGCAGGGAGAAGAGGCGACACACAGTGGAGGTGAATGCACGCAGCCGAGAGCGTGCTTGTCGGACATACACCGTGGGACCAGGAGGAGACAGCAGTCTGCATTGGATCAGAGACCGGCACCAGCACTGTAGGGGTTGCTGAATACAAATGGAAGGAAGATGATTCAGATCAAGAGGCATCATTTAAGGTAAGTCCTTAAAGGAGATCTATAAGGTGAGTGATTTCCACTCATCCTCATAGTTAGAGCCGACCTGTGACAAAGAAGCTGTCGCAGGTCGGCTCTATTGATCGGGAAGTAAGCAGAAACATGCACTGATCTGCTCACTTCCCGATCATCTCCCTGCAGTGAGCGGTGACTTCTTCGATCTTCCAGCGCTGAGTGGAGGAATGAACTGGGGAGGGAGATGGCCCAGCTGGCTCTGCCTCTAGATAGGCAGAGCCAGCTGTCACTCACGCAGCTGGGCGGATCTCGACAGCAATGTTGGGATCCGTCCCAACTGCGGAGCTCACAGTATATCGCGGGCAATACTGAGCTTTGGGTCACAGGAGGACGCTAGTATATGTCCTCCCATTGACCCTAAAGAGAAAAACACTTACCCCATAGTTCTCTTTTATAGCATGGGGGAGGGGGGGGGACAACATATGTGACTTTAATGTCACTTTGTTAATAAATACGTAATTAAATGCGTTTTCGAAATTTTAAGAGCTATTTGGTATTACTTTCCATCACATTATTTGGCCTTGGCTACACCTTTGTAAAGACAAATATAAAATATATGTATTAATTTCTGTTTTTACTTCATTCTTTACAATTCCTTTCCTCCAATCTTTCTTTTTAGAGGTGCTGTATTCTGAAATTTACTTATACACTTCCAGTATAAAGGTTCTGGGGATTTATTATGAACCAGATGTCTCGGTCTTTAACTTAATTTCTATATTAATGAATGTTCAGTTAAGTGGTGTAAGAGACCAGTCACTGAAGTTAAAGCTTCCATAGGTCTAATGACTTTGTTCCTCCTGTGTGTGAAGAATGAGTTCTTGAAAGAGTATTCTGCTCCCAATATCTAACAGTGGAACACTCACCTTTTCTTCCATTTACCAGGCAGCAGTATGTGCCTTAACCCCTTCGTGACTGACGACGTACAGTGTACGTCGCCAGCATCGGGGCTGTTTAAACAGACTCCCGGCGACTTTTGCCGCCGGGACTCTGTTTAAACTTGTAGAGCCGACTGTCGGCTTTACAACAGAAGCGATCCTGGCGACTTACCTGTCGCCAGATCGCTTCTGCGTCCCGAAGAAGGGGCCCCCCCCCCCGCCGGACACCCCCGCCGTGCTTCCCGGGCTCCGTTGCCCCTCCTACGGGCCCGGGACCGGCGATCTTTGTGTCCGCGGGGAGCTGGGGAGGAGGTCGACGAACTTCCGTTCATCGATCCCCTCCCCGTTCTATGGGACCGGGAGCGATGCAGATTGCATCACTTCCGGTCCCTGGGCTGTCAGTTCTGGGCTCCTGCAGCCCAGCTATAAGCTATTGAAGTGCGATCTGCACTTCAATAGCTTATTTCCAGTGTAAAGGTGACACTGAGGGTCTTTTGGACCCCCAGCATCACCTTAAAGAGGACCTGTCACCACCATCTGCTATTACATGGGGGGGCTTGCAAGCCCCCCCATGTGATAGCAGTCAAAGTAAAGTAAAAAAAAAAAAAAAAACAGTTTTTAAAATTAAAATGAAATAAAATAAATCTAATAATAATAAAAAAAAATTTTAAAAGTACCCCGCCCCCGCGAGCACGCGCGTCGCCACGTAAACACGCGTCGGGTGCGCCTACGCATGAAAACGACGAACGCGCTACACATGTTGGGTATCGCCGCGCACGCCGGAGTGAGAGCAATAATTCTAGGGCCAGTATTTTGGGGTATCTCTAAATTGATGACCTGTGGGGGCTTTTAAAGTGTCTTTTATTGATTTTTTTGGGGTACTGCAGTTTTTCGCCGTTTCACGGTCGCACGCAATCTGTAAACTGGGCATGTTGGGTATCGTTTTACTCGTTGTAACCTCATCTTTTATATTTCATTAAAAAAATGGGTAATTTGTTGTGTTTTGGGGCATTTACAAAAATTTGTCACTAAATTTTGGGGTTTAATAAGGAGTTGCGCTAATATTGCGCAACATAAAAATGTTCAACTACCACCATTTTATTCTATAGGGTCTTGGCATTCAGAAAATATATAATGTTGGGGGGTTTTACGTCATTTTCAGGCCTAAAATGTGGAATATAACATGGGTGCAAAAATGGAAAAAAGGGCCTCAGTCATGAAGGGGTTAATATTATATAGTTCTTGGTTGCACCTCTGCCAATTTCTAACCCCACAGTATATTTTCAAAGGAAGGATTAGAAGTTTTTACTACTCTCTGTGCCCACACTGGCTGTTGGAGAGGTTTCCTCTCACCTTTTGGTCATGGCTGTATACACGTGACAAAGATTCTAACCCTTCCCTATTCTAAAAAATCTAAGGCTGCATTCCCATGAGGCACTTTTGTGTGTCCTGGGATTCCTGATACAAGAACCTATGGAATACAAGTACAGTGACGCCTCCTCACTTGTAGTCCATTGACACTTCTTCCCATCCATGTTACTGCATGTCTGTACCTCAGTATGAACATGGACGGGTGGAACAGTCGGCAGGGAGCCAGAGCATCTCACCTGCGATCTACTGATCACGGTTGTGATACTTTACTGGCTCTTCTGCACAAATAAATAAATGCAAGTTCTTTCTTTTATGAAGAAGTGTGCATTTATTTATTTTTGCAAACGGTGGCATATACCTTTTTAGAACTCTCGACCATTATTTCTTACACTTCGATCAAATAAAGATTTTTGACTGATTAGCCGGGTATTACAGGTTGTTCTGACAATATTCCTAGGTGTTGTAATCTGTTTTCTCTGCGATTTGTAGACCAGGCAGATAAATCGCTTTCTGTCACCTCTGACCTCCCCACCAATTTATTAGAGTAATCTTGGCACAAAATTCTTGATATTTTAAAATGTCAGGATGCAATGGACCATTAAGTACTTTTTTGATTGATGGCCTTAATTTGCATTCTGCTTGCCTGTTGCAAAAGATACGGAGTTCCAAGATCAATCCTACTTACATTTAAACAAATATGTTAAAAGCTTCTTCGTTAACCTCTCCCTCTCCCCCCTAAACTCCAGGTATTGTGCGGAATTTCACTAGACTAGCTTGGCCAAATGTCGGTATATGTTTGATATACTTGGTTAGTCCACACGGACCCTGTAAAACATTATAGAAGCCAGAGTTACTGCAGTGCTTTACAGCAATCTTCCAGATCCTGTTACTGCCACTGTGTTGAGCGATTTCTTTTCTGCTCTGCATTCAGAGAATGGCTTGTATTTTTTTTTATCAATGAATGCAGCTCATTCTCTAATTGGTTGGGGGACGGTGATGTCACAATCTGTCTC